GGCTGTGCTGAGGTGTCAGAATATTAAAGGCGCTAATGGCAAAGCTCCCTGTTACACAGGGGGCCACCCGCCGCGCCTACAGCAGGGCTGTGCGGCAGGCCCGTTGCAGATGGCTGGCCACTAAGCTAATGGGGCAGCCGCCAAGGCGGGCAGAGCCACAAGAGGGGAAAGCCAGCCGGGAGCAGCTCGGCACCTGCTTCCCTGCGCATGGAAATTACAGCAGCTCAGGGGAAGGGAAGTGTGTGTGCCTGCCTGGCACAAGGCTAGGGTGGGTTAGTTGGTCGATGCAGCATCTTTCACCCCAATTCCACCTGACCTTGTGGTTCAGCATCAATGCCTGCCATAGATAGGACTCAGAAGCTCAGTCATCCTTCCATCTACCTCACCCTAGGTGACTCCATAGCTGGGCAGCTGGGCCCTGATGGCTGACAGAGGTGCAGCTGGAGAAGTGGCATCCAGAAAATTTGGAACCAGCATTAGCAAAGGGGCTCAGGCACATGGTCTTGGAGAGAGCTATTAAAACAGATTCCTGCCTCACACTGATCAAGGTCAGGAAGCCGCTGGGCCCCTTCCCCTCACTGCCCAAGTGCTGATAGGAGAGGGAGGAAGTGGGGTGAGAAGCAGGTAGGGGTCCCTCCAGGTACTGACACACACCTCTGCAACCTTCAGGCATGACCACCAGCCACACAGAACCATTCTAGGCTCAGCACCAGGGCCCAGCACATCAGTCTCCTTGATGTTGGTGTTGCTACTGGAACAGATTTGGGAGGCAGTGCCACAACATATGGGTCCTTCTCTGTGCTGGCTGCACCAGCCACACCCAACCCCAGGCATCCTCCTTTTTCCCTCTTCTGTCTGGAATGTTTTATTCCCCTGTCTTCTATACTCTGGCCTTCTAGTACCACTTGCTCTGTGAAGCTTTCCTAGCCTCCTCCATTCCACCATGGACCTGCCTCTCTCCAGTGCCCCCTCTGGTCAATGCCACAGGGCTTAGTCTCTGATGGTCCTATTCTGATGAGTCTCTCCATGCCAGCCTTGACTTCCCAGCCAGAATCTCTGAGACATAGTACATATCACCTTGCCCTGAGCTGAACTCCAGGAAGGGCTCTGGTAAGATTTGTAGTCAGGTACAACCTCTTAAGGAAGGAGCAAGGAGTGGCAGGGTGGGCCCAGTCGCCTGGGGGAGAGACTGAGGTTTATGTAAGTGTATGAGCACATATATGGTTGGGCCTCTCCATGGTGTATAATCTGGGGAGGTGGGGCACCCTTTAGAAGTGAGTAGTGGAGATCAAGGGTGTATAAATACAGGTTCAAAGGGGCAGCAGGTACAAGTGTTCACACTACAGAGTGGCAGGAGCACTAGTTGCTGTAGAACCCTCTGTATTCTCTGGGTGGCTCTCTGTGACTGGGGGCCATGCCAAGTGGTACCCAAGATGTCAGGCATTATTGGAGGAATTGATATACTAGGACTAGAGTGTTTCTGTGAAGCTGGTGGTCATGTTTGAATGTTGCAGGGGTGTGTGTCAGTACCTGGGGGAGATACGCCCAGGTTCTCAGCAGGGGCGGCAGGAGGAAAGCCCAGGCTGAAGGAGAGCAGTTTTAATTAACCAGTTTTAATATCATTTTGGACTTTGGCTGGTGTGTGAAGGCCCCGCTGGAAGCAGCATTTGTAAAAATTAAATCCCTCTTATTAGGAGCTTGGCAGACCCATGTGCACATGCCTCTCTCTCCCCCCACTTTGTGCCCCCTGAGGAAGTGCTGGATGAGGCAGTGTTATGGCAGCAATTGGTTATCATGCCTTATCTGGGAATAGGAAACTGTGCGGCATGACACCGTGGCCACAGTGGAGATGCCAATTTATCTCACCCCCACTCTGACAAGCTACACTGCCCTTTCTGAAAGGCATCTGTCAGGCAGGACTGGGTTACCACCCTGTCTGGTTCCTCTGCTCTCCTCCAGAGGCTCCAGCTTGCCCTGGTCCAGCCTGGCCTTGGGCCCTGCTGCCCACTATCCCCCTTCTGCATGTCCCAAGCTGTGGAAGATCTTGGGGAGTCATTATTATAATAATAATCTAATCATAGTGACGTCTAATGTTATCTGAAGTGGTCTTCCCGCTTAACTTTGATAAGGCTCAGGATGACGTGCAGATAACGTTGAGCTGCTCTGTCTCCGAACCATGAGCAAAGCGGAGGGGCCTTAGCAGCCCTGCTGCCTGCCC